CCAATGGAGTTCATTGAATTAAATACTCTGAAAGCCATAGCAAGTTGGCTTGCCCTGCTAAACCCATCAACCAGAATATTGTAGGTTACTTCATCAGGCCATAACCCATTGTCAACTATCCTTCTCAAAAGTTCCATTGCTTTGTGAGGTTTATTGGCTTTACATAACCCTTCTATAAGCTCATTGAAGGTATGGATATTGGGCTTGCAATTCCTCTTTTCCATCACGCCAAGAAGCTCAAAAGCAGAAACTACTTTACCTTCATTGTAGTAACTATTAATCTGCGCCTTATAAGTTGTTGTGCCAAGAACCAATCCATCATCTAACATTTTTCTGAACATTCCATTTGCCTCCCCAATCCTACCTTCTCTACATAGCCTATCTATCAATACTGTATAACTGTGAATATTTGGTTTACATCCCTTCTTGTTGGTTTACATCCCTTCTTGAGTCTTGACCATCTCATCAAGAAAACCAAAAGCCGTATCAGTGGATCTTACATCACAAACAACTTTAATTAGGACGGTGTAGGTATGAGTACTTGGGTGGCAACCCTTTTCATTCATATCTTCCTTTGACACCACAACCATCCTCATTGAGATCACCTACCCCGCAATTACCCAACACCAAAGAGGTACAAGTATGAGTATCCAACCAAAACCCAAGTTTCAAAACTCTTGAAAAGAACATTTCAGCAGCATGTACAAACCCATTCTTGCATAAAGCATTTATTACAATTTGTTAATCAATAACACCAAGAGCAAACCCATCATCTACCATTCTCCTATAAACTAAATCTTGTGCAGATCGTCAAGTGCACCCATCAACTTCAAAACATGATGTTCATGCATACAACATTCCTTAATTACTACAACTACGGCTTTATGTACAATCCCAAATAAATTATGAGATAACATTAGACTCAATAGATGAATTCTACCATCTAATTTGTAGCAGTATGTCGATTGCTTGCTTACCCATTTGAAAATTGATGTTGTATGAAATTGATGTTGTCTATTTAGGAATTTATTGGGAGTTGCATTGTTAGTTGAATGAAATTGGAGTTTAAGGTATGTGACAGAGTGGTCGTTTTTCATTCTAAGCCTTCTATACCTATCTCCACCACCACATGTAATTGTATATTAAAATTTGGTTTGACTTTGAAAGGTTTTTTTTTAGAGATGTTTAAGTTCTATGATCTTAGAATGATGGTGGTGACATGTTAATGGTTTTGTGCAAGGGTGGTGGCGATAGGTTGGTTTTGTGGTGTTTTTGGGTATAAGGGTTTGGTGAGTTTATGCTTATATTGAATTTTTAATGAACATGTTAAAAAAATTGAAACGTTGGTGATATGTGGCATGTTATTGGTTTGTGACCTTAGTCAATAAGCATGTGTATAGTGTGAATTTGAATATATGTGATTTAGATTTCTGACTTATGATTTATTTTTTTCGATACCATGAAGAACTTGAGAACAAGATACTTGAGAATTTGCATTCACTGTTTTATTCTTCTTTCATCCTGTACATGTGCATGCACTATTTTCTTTGGTTGTTTTTTGCTTTGAATATCTAAAATTTTTATTTAATTTCATTCGTTAAGTGTGATTGTGGTTATGTTCGACTCATTCGATAAGTGGTGATCGCAAATTGTAATATTATTGCACCATTTGCTCAGTTTGATTAGTTCATCATTCAATTGAATTAATTCACAAGTCTTTGTTTATATTCACTACTTTTGAATCCTTCTAGCTTATTCACATCTGTTAGTTCATTCAATTGGGTTAATTTTGTTAAATTTGGTTGCTTTGGTTATTTGCGTGAATCCTACGCTTTTGTGATTGTATGTTTTTCAACAAGTCCATTTGATAGTCTCAAATGAACTCATCCAATGGTCACTAAGATCCCTCTCAAAATCAGGAAGAAACTGTCAGAGACTGCTGCCTCTCTACATTCCCTTCTAGCCCCCTCTCCTTTATTTCTCTCTCTGTTACGTAGTCACACTATCTCAAGTGAAACTGTTGCCGATTAATTCTCGATCGATTGATGAGCTTATTGGTGAGGCAATTGTAAGTTGTGATCGGGGGATAACATTTCAATGATAAATAGATTTCGGTCTACGAGGTATATGTAGAATTCTAATGCTTTCATTATGGTGTTTTGTATTAGCTTCTTTGATGTTGTACTAATTGGAAGCAGACTATTACGTTATTATGTAAAAATTGATTTAGGTGGAAAATTGATCGTTTAATCTAAATAAACCAAAAAGCAGTTCAACCCAATTGTTATTTGTGGGTGTTATAAGTTTCCTATTTGCAAAGAATCAGAGAATTATAGTCATTATTCATTGCTTTGTATTTGCTCTTATATTTTTTATTTGCTTAGGCTTAAAAAAGTCCTTAGTAAAATGTCTAGTAATATGTATAAGAAGTCCTTAGTAAATTATTTGTGGTGATATGATTGTAACTTTGACAGGTTTGATATAAGTTTTGTTGTCTAGAAAATTTAGGTTGTTCATTCTTCTAATAAGTGTTGATCTCTCCAAAAAAAAAAAAAAAAAATCTACATATCTATATAATAAATTAGCTAGCAAGTTAAATTTTATCTCTTACATATTTTTCCCCCAAAACTATCTCATCACACCTATGTTTCTTCTTTTTTTGTCTGTATAATTTTGACCAAAGAAATGAAGACACATAAAAGAGCTTGGGGAAAAAAAAAGACTATATCTTGGTGGTTGTTATACATGTTTATTGATTTCGAAATAGTTGATAATGAGTGATTTTATGAATGTTTTCAAATTTGTTTAGTTGTTATATTTATTGTGTTGATTAGTTTCGATAAAAGTGACTGAATGATAATTAGTTATGAGTATTACATTGTGTATGGTGGGTCCTATAATTGGTTTAGATTGTCTTTGCTTTAAATATAAGCTTTTCTCAATAATAAACAATTTTGTATCAATTATTATTATTTTTAGAAATGATTATGAAACATAGAGATGGTGTACACAGGTTGATATTTTGATAAGGTCTTGTTTTTACAGGAAACTCTATAAATTCTTTTTTAGAAAATTATGGGCTAAGTTGGATTTCAGATTGTTTAATTGAGTAAAAAGTAGGAAAAATAAATTTTTATAAATTAAGTAACAATGAAACATAAATTGTGCTCAATTTTTTTTTTTGTATTGCATAGGGCTTTTTTTAGATACATGTCATTAATCCTTTTTTTTAGTGTTGAATATTGGTTCTCACTTATAAGTCACAAATTAGTTGGCTACACTCATTTGATTGATTTTTGAGTAGATTAATGATCACTTGAGATGTGTTGAAAAGGGAATTTAGGAATAAGATTTTGAATAAGCACTCGAAATTAGGGTTGATTGTGGTTGTAACGAAATTGAAGCCCTGGGACAATAAGTCTCTCAAGAGTTTTGCATATTGTATTTTGATTGTAGTGGGCTACTTGAATTTTTGATTTATAAGAATATTTGATATTGATTTTGGAGGGTGATTGTGGTACTAGTTGAATTGAGATGGTAGCTTTGGTGTGGCACCATTGTGGTCTATGTGCATGGTGTATGGAGAGACAAAATAGGAGGAGACGAAAGAGTTAAGGACATTAGTCCTTTGATCCTAATCGTTGATGGCGTCACCTATCTACATTAATCTAATAACCACATGAGGGCTAATGTAGACATCTCTAAACGTTAGGGGGAAGTTGCAAATTAAGTGATGATAAAATTATCTTAGTTATAAAAATTTAATCCCACATTAAAATGTACAAATGATCTAGAAAATATTCATATCAACAGAAAGGGTGTATATAGTTCTGTTTCCTTAATCATAAGCTGGCAATTCTTTTGGTCACAAACGATAATTGCCCACTTAGTCATTTTATTGCTAATTTCAATATAATTATATGTTTATCTCATTTTATAGCTTTTTGCCAAGAATGGGTAATTTTCAATTAGCGTTTTTCATTCTTAGATCCATTAAAAACAGGGTTGTTTTCACATATTATAGCTATGATCGATTTGAAAGTTTTAGGTTGGAAATCTCTTAAATTATTTTTTTTTCCGCTGCAAAAATGTTTACATATTGATCGTGTACATGTCCTTCTCCCTGAAAAATAGGTCAAATTGCACAAAAAATATTGTGTACCCTAAGGTTTTGTTGTAACATGTGGTATTCTACGATAAGTAAATGGTATAATTTTTTTGCAAGTTTAATTCTACAAATGACAATTATTTTAATAATGCTATTTTATCTTTACAATTGAATTTAATCTTTGTAGAATTGGAATGAAGAAGTGCGCGAGTTAAATATAATAAATACAGTCAAGCTTTCCCGATGGGGATGTATGAATAAGGTAACTAATTTTATTGTTTGTTGTTTATTGTTTTCTTTTCTAAGTTTGTTGTTTTTTTAAATTATGCTGTGTATTGATTTTATTGTTTTTGTAAACAATATGTTGCTATACATTCTTCCAACTGGTGGATGCGGATATGTGTTGATACATGGACTTTGAGGACGATGATAAAGAGAATGTTTGATAATATTAGTGATGGATGACCAATTTTGGTAAATTAGATTAAAGATTGACACATTTTGCAAGTGTACAATATAATTACGTTTGGTGATCATTCTTTCATCTTATGGTTAATGTTGTTGTGGTAGTTGGTAAAAATAGTTGTGTTTATAGAGGATTGTGGTTAATATTTTTAGGAGATGTTCTACCAAAAATTTTTTATCTCTCTCATTTTGCAAGTATACAATATGTATTTTGATTCAAATATATAATCCAAAGGTAGAATATTTTGAATTGGTCAAACCTTAATTTTTGCTGATTTATTGAGGTAGAGTTGATTTATAAGTAATTTATGTCATTTTGCTGTGTGATAGAAGTTGCTTGAGACTAAGAAATTTTATGGATTGTTTATAAATTTTTGAAAAAAATGGTTGTACTACACTCTTTTATGTTTGGATTGTCACATTTTCATGTATTGCTATGGTGCAGTTGGTATTGTTAGTATGCTTTTGAGCTGCTTTGGATACATAAAAGACAGCATAGATTGTTGAGTCTTGATTTAGTATAGACAATACAATTTGGTTGAATTGGTGCAATATAACATTGAGAGTTTACAATTTATTTGTTTAATTAAGATTTTATTGAGGGTAGATTGTGTAATTAGCGTTTTATAAATTGTCTAATACAAATTGGTAGTTTCTTACTGTTCGATTTGTAGGAAAAATTTTGTCCGAATTTTTTAAATGAACACAAAAAAATAATTGATTAAATATTGATGATTTTTTGTTTAACATAATATAGTACTTTGAGGCACATACATTTCTTCTAATTGTATTTTTTATAATGAATGAAATGAAAGCATTTTGACTCACTTTAGTTACCAAAGTCATGACATTAAGTTTGATAAGTGAATGCTGGTTCTTAAACCGATCACCGCTTACTAAGCGCTACTGTTAATTCTAATTAGATATGTAATTTCAAGAATATGAATTTCATGCGTTTTCAGTTTAAGTTAATGAGACTTTTATCATTAAAGTTTATTTTTCTCCATCTTTATATAATTGATACGTTGTTGATCACTAATTGAAAGTGTAGATTCGTTAAGGATACAGTTGTATCTTTCAGCTTAATATTCGCGTTCATGTTCAATATTTTATTTTTTTGTGTTCACAATCAATGTTTGATTTTTCTGAATTGTATAGTGTTTTAAGGCAAGGATTATCACTAGTATAATATATTCTTTAAATTTTGTGTTCGAGTTTGTATAATTCTTTGAGGAAGAATCATGGGAATCAGAACATATGAATGGCATTGTTTAAAAGCGCAAGTATAAATTATATTTTCATTTGCTCAATAATGAGTTTTTTTTTTTATTGAAGTGTGTTCAAACTTATATCGATTATTCTCTCAAACTCAATAATAAATTTAATTTTGCTTTTTTCTTGCTATTGTCGAGCTTTTTTTAAAAAAATTATTAATTACTTGCATAATTTTATTTTCAAAAAGATCATGATTTGACCAAATTAACATCTTTTTCTTAAGTTAGGGCGGTGCTGAAGCCAAGCTTGTAAATAGGAAGGGCCCGAAGGGCAACTACTAAGCAAGAAACACAGTGAAAAATCAAAACGGCGTCGCAGGAACTTCCCGTAGGACTGAAATTTGTCGCCCTCTCCTTCTCTGGTCAACATCGTCCTCAATGTACAGCAACGGCATCTCAATTTCGGTCTCAGATGATGAGCCCGACGATCTCGCCGGAAAGATTAATGTCCGAGCCAGAAGAAAACGAAAGAAACTGGGTTTTCGAGGCAAGAATGAGTTGGTTCATCGATTTCTGAGGCAGCTCGTGAAATGGTGGCCCGTATTGCTCTTCCTTCCTGCCGCGGGATTGCTTCTATTCGAGGCCTCCAGAATCGGTCGAAAAACCAAGCCACTCATCTCGGAACTTGTGAGTCCAATGAAACCCGACCCAATTCTGGAAAAGACGGAAGGAAATTTGAACCGTCTAGATCCAACGACTCGAGTCGTTGGTGGCGTCAGAGAACGTAAGTTCTTTCTGAAAATTCGAAAGGAATTTTTGTCTATATGCGTAACTGTATCGATTATTGTTTTATTTGCAAGCAAAAATCTTAGTATTCTTGGTAATTGAGGTGATTGATTAATTAATTGGTTAGTAATTTAGGAGAGGGACCTACATTGTGCTGAGTTAGCGGAAACGTTTGGAACTTTTGAGACTGTTTTTGGGTATCATGCTTTTAGATAATTGCAATTGTTGTTGTTGGCTACATGAGCAGAAACTTTAAGTCCAGTAAGGAAACTATGTTTGTGTATATTGCTGTTTCTTGGACTGAATTCCTACTAAGTCGTTCAGTATTGCGTGGTAATGAGCATAATGTTATTGGACCACATTTGATTTTATCTGGTCTGCATTGGCATATTTGGCAGAAACATCACACAGCTGATTAGCATAGTCTTGAGCACTTCTTGTTCCCACTTATATTGAAAGAATTGCAACTTCTATGTGTCTTGATGAAATAGTGAGGAACATAATTGATTGCATCAGGAACTGCAACTTTGTCTATCGAAAGGATTATAGTTTTATCCTGGAAATTGCACTGGAAAGACTTAAATTACTGTTTTTAAATGTTTACCTGCCAAAACTGAAATATGTTTTATAGTCCACAGTTTTATATTGCATTTTCCTCATCTAACATCTTGCAGACGTCACAAACATTTCAATTCATGACACTCTTTATGGATCGTATCAGGTTGCTTGAAGCTCCTACCTCCTGAAGAACTTCAACATCCGGATATTCCTATGGATAAGGACTCCACTTATCCTATTAACAAAATGCAATACATATCAGAAAGGGATACACCTTATGTAGAAGGGAACTTTGCCCTATCTCAACAGCACATGGAGGCCACAAGATTTAATCTATTTACAGGAAATCAAACTCTTGAGCAGAGAGAGCAAAGTTTTAAGGTCATAGGCTGCATCTTGGTATCTTTAGAGTGGTTTAGGTTGTCCTGTTAGTCTTCGAATTCAACATAAGGTCACTTCTTTGGATTTTTCAGTTGAACCAGGTTGTACTTAAATGAGCAATTCTTGAACCCTTCACATCAATCTTCCTTGCCATTAGACATTTGCTTTCTCATATGCTAATTATTGGCAATATCTTGACGCAGTTTTAAACTATTTTGTTTTTTCTGAATTAGATGTTGAATCAATGTAACAGGCAAATGAATCAGCTATGGTACATTGTGGTTTCTACAGCAAGAACGGAGGATTTAAGGTTTCTGATGAAGACAAAAATTACATGGAAGCTTGCAAAGTTGTGGTGTCCACTTGTGCATTTGGTGGTGGAGATGATCTTTATCAACCTATCGGGATGTCGGAGGCATCACTTCAGAAGGTTACACTATTGGATGCAAAATAGTGAGTCGTATCTTTCAAATTCTATCTTTTTCTCAATATACTAAAAGTGTGGAATAGATGCAGGTTTGCTATGTCGCATTTTGGGATGAAATCACTCTTGCTGCTCAGGAAGCCGAGGGTCGCAAAATTGGCGAGAACCATTTTATCGGGAAGTGGCGCATTGTAATAGTTAGGGATCTCCCTTTCAGAGACCAAAGACTAAATGGCAAAATTCCAAAGGTATGAAAGCAATTTGGTGTCCTTTGATGTTAACTGAATTAGTATGTTTAGTCTTTTAAGCTTATATCTTTATCATGCAAGTGAAAGTAATCTTTGTTTGCTTCTGGCAAGAAGTGCTCAAATCGACAGAGCATCTATTGACCGTCATTGTTTAAAATTCTCATCTCATACTAGAATTCTGGAAATATATATATTAAGTGCAATTTGTACAAGCACTTTGATGCCATGTAGATTTGTTGCTTTGGATTACAGAGGTAACTGTTGATCAAATGACTTCTTGGGTCATTTCTCTGGGGTGTCGATCAGAATCCAAAATTTTTCGAGTACATGAGGATTTGTGTTGATCATTGCTATTAACCTACCCAACATTGTGGTTTAATCGACAACTATGCCATTTATTTATAAACATTAATCCTAATTGACTTGATGGTGTCTGATATACTTTCCTCCCCCCCTCCCCTCTCTCTGAGTGCACATTAAAATTGTACACGTCCAGCACTACATTGGTTAATTACCACATAAAAACCTGTTGTTGAATTTGAGAAGCATGTGGTTCTTTCTTTCTTTTTTTGAAGCAATGTTTAAACTTGTTAGAATTGAGTTGGCTACATCATGACACCAACGAGAACAAGTATTTATGTGTGCTCATACTTGATGTTAGGTACACTGAATCTGAGTGTGCAAGTGCATATGATTTTTTGTGCCAGCAAGCTTTCTAAAAGGTTTTTTGTGTCTACTTCAATCAGATGCTGGGTCATCGTCTCTTTCCTCATGCAAGATATTCTATTTGGGTGGACTCAAAGTCCCAATTTAGGAGAGATCCTTTGGGTGTGTTAGAAGCCCTTCTTTGGCGTTCAAATTCGGTACTTGCCATTTCAGAACATGGAGCACGCAGTAGTGTCTACGATGAGGCAAAGGCTGTTGTCAAGAAAAACAAGGCTACCCCAGAAGAAGTGGAGGTACAATTGACCCAATACCACCAGGATGGCCTCCCAGAGGACAAGAGGTTTAATGGAAAGAAAGGTATATTTCTGCCTACTGGCTTTTCTTACAGGAACATAAAACAACCTTAATATTCCCACTAGTATTAATGGAAAATGAAAATTGATATTTATTCGTTGTGATTTGTTGAATTTCAGTAAATTAAATTCACGCATGTACCCATTAGCAGTTTTTTGTTTGTCTAGAAAGAGCCACTTCTCATAATGAGATGTGGTCCATTAACCAACTACATTTTTTTGCTGCCATATCTCCATTCTGTTTCTCTCTTCTGTTCTTCTTGTGTATAGCATTGTTTGTTTTTCTCGTTTCCTTTGCCTGCCCTGAATTTCACCACGTGTTTGACTGACCTTGATTTGTCATGTACTGAATCCTCTATAATGATCTGTGCAGCTTTAGCAGAGGCATCTATAATTGTGAGGCATCATACACCATTGACTAATCTGTTCATGTGCCTTTGGTTTAATGAGGTGGTTCGCTTCACATCCCGTGATCAACTGAGTTTTCCATATGTTCTATGGCGGTTGAAGGTGTTAAAGAACATTAATATGTTCCCTGTCTGCACTCGCAAAGATCTTGTTAATAGCATGGGCCATATACGCAAGGCTAAGCCTCTAACAAACTAATTCTTGGTGCTTTTTTATTTTTTTGAATTATTTTTCATATTTATTATTAATTTCTCAAATGATTCTTGTGGTCTTGTTTGGTTTACACTTTCTATGGTGTTTATACATGGAACGTCCTAGAAGCAACAGCATTCGTGATTCACTAGGACAATATAACGGGTCTACTGGAGGTAATCTTTGTGATGACAATCTGTGTAGCTAACAATCTTTGTTATTCTTTTATATGTCCCTGCACAATTTTGAAGTTAGAACAAAGGAAAAAAAGAAGAAAGAAATAGCTCGACAACATTTTATGTAGACCAGATGCTTCAGCCCGTTTATTAAGTAGGTTGAAAATGAGTTGGAATTGGATTTGGATTACACACAATCTGTTATCGACCCGCTCGCAACCCACCCGGTTTACACTTCTGGCATTCACCTTGTTATTAAATCACTTTTTGGTACCATAAACTCATTTGTGGAGAAAGCATGACTCATATGCTTGAATAGGTTTAGGTACAGAGATTAATGGTGGATTTGGTGGCCAAAACACCTAAATACCAACAAAAGCACTTCAGAACAACTGTATTAAAGGAACTCTCCAAAGCAGTACATCAAAGCCTAAGTACCAAAAACTTTGAAACAGTCCCATAGAGAATTATGCTGCCAAAGATCATATTTTGCACTGCAGTTTCTTTAGCTACACTCGCAGTCATACTCCTGGCCTTGTTCTCACCAGTACCTCACAAACATCCCACAAAGAGTAGCACAAGACCTTGGCTCGCATTGTCCTTATACATTCAACAACCCCAAGTTGCTAGCTCTACTATGCACCCGGTGGCCCCAAAAGATGCCGGAGCCTTGATCTTCCATCGGACACTAACAGAGGGACCTGAGATCACTTCTCCGGTGGTCGGAAAAGCTCAGGGGTTCATCATTCCAATCGAACAGTTTGCGCATTCAGCATTTAATATCATTTATCTCACCTTCGATACGCATGAATATTCAGGTAGCCTTTCTGTCCAAGCCAAGAATGTAGCCCAGAAGGACAAAGAAGAACTCACTGTTGTTGGTGGAACAGGTTCTTTCGCTTTTGCTCGTGGGGTTGCTGTTTTTGCTCAAACAAACAGGCATACGTCTAATTTCGATGCAATTTATCACATTAAGCTGCATCTAAAATTCCCAAATCGTTCTCAAACAATACCTGGATAAGATGCAACTTATTATTTGATTTTTTTTTTTTTTGCTCCTTTCATTTCTTTTCGATTCGATAAAAAATGGGAATTCAATATGAGAGATTTCTGTCATGAAACTCTTAGTAAGATAAAATTATTTCCTTACGTTTATGGATTATGATTGAATGGTAATATTTCGTTCTTCCTTATGTTGACCACCACTTTTCGGTAGTGAATCAACAAATTTATGCCTGGAAAAACAATTAAAGAATGGAATTGGGCAATAATTGGAAGCTCCAACATGTGTCAAATATCATATGGTAAATAGATATGGCCATTGCACCCCTGCCTCTCTTTCTGTCTCCTCATTCCACATCGAGACACACAGAGATCTACATGTACCAAAAAAATAAATAGTGATTTGGTGATGATAATGTTGACCATGGCAATGACTGGAGGCATTGGGTTTGCGTATCAACTATTCACTATTCAGCACACGGGATCTAAATTTGGGAAGATTTAAGAGTACCAATTGGATAGCGAGGGGGTTTGGCAGTGCAGAAAAGGAAAATAATTCATAGCAATTTTAGTCATGCCAAAGCATCGATACGAGTTCGATCTGTATATTAACATGAGCATTAATACGTATAACCTATAAACTAATTGAAGACTATAACCCCAAGTTCTCTTAAATCACATCCAACATGCATTATCCCCAATGGAAAAAAGTCGNCAATATGAGAGATTTCTGTCATGAAACTCTTAGTAACAGAAAATTATTTCCTTACGTTTATGGATTATGATTGAATGGTAATATTTCGTTCTTCCTTATGTTGACCACCACTTTTCGGTAGTGAATCAACAAATTTATGCCTGGAAAAACAATTAAAGAATGGAATTGGGCAATAATTGGAAGCTCCAACATGTGTCAAATATCATATGGTAAATAGATATGGCCATTGCACCCCTGCCTCTCTTTCTGTCTCCTCATTCCACATCGAGACACACAGAGATCTACATGTACCAAAAAAATAAATAGTGATTTGGTGATGATAATGTTGACCATGGCAATGACTGGAGGCATTGGGTTTGCGTATCAACTATTCACTATTCAGCACACGGGATCTAAATTTGGGAAGAATTAAGAGTACCAATTGGATAGCGAGGGGGTTTGGCAGTGCAGAAAAGGAAAATAATTCATAGCCATTAGACTTTTTAGTCATGCCAAAGCATCGATACGAGTTCGATCTGTATATTAACATGAGCATTAATACGTATAACCTATAAACTAATTGAAGACTATAACCCCAAGTTCTCTTAAATCACATCCAACATGCATTATCCCCAATGGAAAAAAGTCGCCACCATGGCTGCTGCTTCTGTCTCCTTTATTGCGAAAGAAAATGAGAAAGTTCATCATGACTCAAATTTCAACTAAAATTTAAATTTTAATAAAAATATAGAAAGAACAAACTGCAGTCCTTTATTCATCATTTTTTTTTTTGGAAAAATTTCATCCACAATTCTTATAATTAGGTATAAATTCAATGACACCTTTTTTCGATTTTAAAATTTCACTGCACTCTTTTCTGGTTTATATTTTCAAATCAATGGCAACCACTTAACGGTAACTTTTATCTCTATCAATAGATAAAGAAATAATTTGACTAAATATTTTGTAAAAAAAAGTAAAATTACCCTTTTTTATGTAAATAGAATAAAATGCCCTCAATTTTTTCCCTATTATATATGCTCTAACCAGACAGCAAGTGCGATCTCTATTATTATATTATCTCAATGAATTTTTCTAGGTTTAAAGCATTACATGATAAAACATTAAATCCAAACACCATAATCCACAGTAAAAACCAAAAAATAAAGCAATTCAACATTAAATCCAATTCCAAACATAGAATTTCAAATCAATAATGAAAATTGTTACCCATAACAAGACCTTAAACTTAGATCTCAATAAATGAATTTAAACACATCCATTCAAATTCTAATTTCTGGGAGAAACGACATAATCTAAAGACGCCACAACACAGGCTAGAAAGGGCCGAGACTCTAGGGCTACCCCTTTCTCTTATCCCCCAAGTTCCACAGCCCCTTCTATATTTGTATTCATTTTTCCAATCGATTAATTTAGTCCAATTAAGCCAAAGTTTTTGGTCAATTTCCGAAATTCGAGAATTATCAAAAACCTAAGTGTTGTGCGACCAGACTGTAAAAGTAAGTGAGTGTGTGTGAAATTGAGTGGGTGGACGGGTGCGATAAATTTGCGCGTGTGTGTGCAGGGGAGTGTATGGGTGTGAGTGTGAAGTTAAGTTAAGTGGTGGGTCTTTGAGAAAATAGATGGATGTGTGGGGCTGTGTGCGTCGGTATGTGTATGTGCTTGTGCTCGGGGGGGGGAACAGGGAAGAAGGGTGGGGTGCGTGTTGTGTGTACAGAATGTTTTGTGTTTGTCGGAGTGGATGGGTGAGAGACGAACCTGAGTCGCTGGAGATCGCCGGAGTTGGAACTGGATCGTCGTAAAAAACAAAGGGAGGAGAGAATTCGGTGAGACAGATAATAGAAATAAGGGGAGAGAGAGATAATGGACGCCGTTGAAGGTGAGAGAGAAAAATGTTTCTGCATAGGAGAATTTGTGGTTTTCAGCGAACAATAATTCTACATTTTCATCTGAGTGTTGTATTATTTATTCTAATTCAGGATTTTCAATTCTTTGTGGTTGGACACTTCTTGTAATTTACTATACATATAATGAGAATTTCTATATCTCCCCATTTAATTATTTTTGGGATAATAAGTTTTGAACTAGAACCCTTCGTTTCAAATAATACGGATTCACCAGTGAGACTTTTTTTTACCAGATTGAAGAAGATTTTATCCATTTGCTTGAATATTGAGGGTCAATATTTCAAGAATTCTACTATCAAATAAATATACAGAATATTTTGGATAACAATTAAAATAATGAAATGGAAGCATTCATACTTGACCTTGTTAATGGCTTAACTGTAATTTGTATTAGTCCAAAATATAAATATTGATATTTTTATCAATGTTTTTCTATAGTTTCAGAATTTTTTAAAAACTCCCATGTTTAGGAATTTTCGACTCTCATGCGTTAAAGATCGTAGAAACAGATGCATCTGTTATTGGATATAGAGGCATTTTATAACAAACTATTGATGGTTCTAGAAAATTATCAACTTTACTTCTAGTGCATGAAATCCAACGCAACAAAATTATTCTACTCTCAAAAAAAAAATTATTCATCATATTTTGAAATTTTGATGAAACATTTTTCTTAAATGACATTACATTCTATTCGTAATGACCAAATGACACCGTAAAAATTGTTTTATATCAATCATTTGCTGTTATTTGAATTTGTCAAAATCCAAATGTCATGTCAAATTTTGATCATTGTATAGTCTTCCTAATAAATCTTTTTTATTTGAAATTGAATACCTTATCCATTATAAGGCATCATTAAATGCTTTGTAATTTATTATTAATCTTGGAACTCTTATTTCTGACTAAGCTTTTTTCTGGTCAAAAAATTTATGACAACTCCAAGGGGGAATGATTTTTGTGAATTAAATTTTTATTAAGGAAGTGTTGAATTTCATTTTTGCAATATTCTAGCAATTCTTGATTCATTTGTATTGGGCAAGCCTTTGTGAGAATATCTTTTTTATTAAAGTATTTGGTATATAACAATTCAATCATGTGCAATGTGTTGTTTTCTATGCCAAAAGACATTTGGTAAATTATTATGATGGATAAGGGCCACGGACCCAACTAATGGGTCCAGTCCAAAGGAGGTCTACACTCAGTCAAGCTCATCAGATTTCGAGGAACTACATCACCAAAGAAAGTAAACAAGGTCATCTAAGAGTCTCATCCACACGGACTTGGAAAGAGTCAACCATCACGTCATTCTTTCACCTGATCTTATAGGGAGCTCCGTAACTACCTCATCTGTTGAACAGATAGCGTCAATTCCACCAAATTAACTATTTAATTACTGAAAATGCATTGAGAATCACTATAAATTATAAGTCCCGCCAATATTTGAGTGGCATCAAGCACATTTGTTATCACTCACATCTCTCTCTCATTACTTGTATTTCTCTACTCTCCTTACACTCTTTGAAATAATAAAATACTCAGGTCACCCCAGTCCCTCCATAGTAGACATAGGTCACGTTGACCGAACCACTCTATATTTTCGCCTTGCTTGAGTTACTCTATCTCTTTATTTAATTACCGCATTAATTACTGATTACTTGACTGGTGGTATATAAATTTAATTTGTGCATCATCAAATTAGAACATATTTATTTTATTATTTGGTTTTGAAACACATAAATCTTATTAATTAGGATTGAATCTTCTAATTGTTGATATATTCTTTTATAATATAATTCTTGTTTAAGAAAATTTAATTTGTTTTGTTTTTCTTAAAAGAACATTAATTTATTTTCTTCACAAAAATAAAGATATTTGATGTTATTGTTATCTTTAGTTTTTTACTAAGTTATAAATTCAAAAATAATTTATTTTTCTAAAATATTGGTCTTAATTTCATTTGTATATATAGAAAATGATTGTATTAAAGTTAGAAAAAGAGTTCCTAATATAACATCTTGAGTTAGATTTTTAACTAAGATAAAAGTAGTTTTAATACACACCCCTTAGTTACATATATGAGTATCTGATAAATTATAATTGATTCTTAATTTTGATCCACTTGCGGTGCTTACAAAATTCTGTTATTTTCTCAAAATAAATTATTGGAACTAATCCTCCTTTGATATAATTTAAATCTGCTCCTGAATCAACAAGAGCAATTGTAGTCAATTGGAAAGACCTATACTGAAACATCAACACTTGAACCTAAAGTAAATAATAAAGCACAAAAATAAAATCCAAACTTCAAACAAACTATGGGTGATGCTATGCTGACTTAATTTTTTTTATTAAATCTCCATCTGAAATGATGTGATTTAATTTTTTACTATCAGATAAGTGGGTCCTATTAATATTCAATGACGGAGATTGTGGCACATCATTTAGTAGGCTTGTCAAAATTTGACATGACACGAATTAAGTAGATTTTGGTGAAATTTTATCAAGTTTGAGTGATACGGGTTAACTTGCCATACACATTTAATAAACGAGTTGTACTTGAGTGAGACATATTAAACCATTTATCACACATTTATCCATTTAAATAAAATTATTATAATAATAAATTAATAATTATTTTAAAAAATTAGCCAAAAAAAAAGAAGTAAAGAAATCAATACAAAAAAAAAAAGTAAAGCAATAGTTCAAAGACAAAGGAGAATAGATAGTGAGATGGAAAGATGAAGAGCAGTTTAAAGACAAAGTCAAACCAATGTCTTTTATTTTTGTTCCACATCGACAAATGAGGGGAGATGTGAAACGTTGACTTACCTGTAAAAGTCAGTGGTCTCTTGCCTTTTTTTTAGCCTTCAAGACTGATTTTTATGTGATATTTGACTATAATTTTTTCTTTTTTGAGGTAAGTACATTGTTGTAAAAATATCAATTGAAGAATGCTAAAAATCAGATGATAAACAAGACAAGAAAGCTTATCGATAAAGGCGTGTAGTCACTGTCCTTAAAAATAAATTTTCGCCCCTCTGAGTATGAACACGGTGCAATAGGTTATGACGTCCTATCCTGCAGGATTTAACTATCACTTCTCTACAAGTGTGCACTCGCAACTGTAGAGGTGTCTCGAACAACTTTTGATCATTCTCAAATCAAAGTAATATAAGTAGTAGTATATTTATTGGTATATCAAGACACTGGTTGCAGCAGGTTGACATACTAATCACGAAATCTATTATATGTAAAACTCACTAATCAAAGGTTTTTTTTTTTTTCCTTTTAACAGAAGGTTGCCTCTCAGTTATTCTTTTATCTAGCTCTTCTATTTGTTTCCTTTTCTGTCCGAAGNCCCCAATAAATAAAAAAAGATTTTCCGCTTGTGAAAGTAGAAAAAATGAAGGGACTCCCGGCTAATTGTCAACCTTTACACATGGCTAATATTTTCTAGAAGAGAANTATTTGTTTCCTTTTCTGTCCGAAGATCTATATCTCAAAGCAGTTATTCATCATTGCTTTGAATATCCATCCAACAGATACAATGAATAGGTTGCAATGGTTTGAAAGCTAGGTAAACAGGTTGCAATAAATTGAAATTTAGGTGTAACGGTCTGAAACTTTTCATAGTTATAATATAATATATTGACAGACACTTGAAAATGCATTAAAAAATTCAAACACTTGAATTTTCTTTGACCTATTGCAACGGTTTGCAATCAGATACTAACGGTTAATTACAAAATTCAACAGTTATTAACCAACGGTTATAGACTTTAAAATTACTCTAATGTAATATAATAAATTAATGCAATATAAGTGATAAAACAAATGGTCACAACGTGTACTATTCAGATCATCCAATAAGTCTAAAAATAATTTTAAATAAAATATATATATTTTTTAAACTTATATTCCAATACACATATATATGTTAGAAATAAATAAATATATATTATATTTTGAAATATATATTAAATACAACATAATTGATAGCAAAAAAAATAGAGTTAAAATTTATTGATATAATTTTTTTTAAATTAAATGAGTTAAACGAGTTAGTGTCGTATTACCCGTTTATTAAACGGATTGTAAATATGTTGAAATTTTTTACCTGCTTATTAAATTTATTGTGTACAAATTTACATATTTTTTATCCTGTCGTCCATTTAACCCGACACGAAATCGTTTAACACCCCTATCATTTAGTATAAAAGATTTGACATTTTTCCAAAATTATATAGTATATCTTTTCTTTCTTTTGGAACAGACCAAAATTAAAGGAGCAAAACATGGCTCAATTACATGGCAAAAATGTCCTTTGCCTAGTGTGGGCTCTCTTTGTAGGTCTTTAATACGTGCAAGCCACGCTAGTAAATGATTTATTGCATTTGTTCTCACATATGTTAGTATATTTTTGTCAACTCAACTTGATCTACTCATATCAAACCTGGCATTGGCAGGCGCAAGCCAACAAAATTAGGATTCAAATCATATCAAATATTTGTTTCCCTTTATACATTTTTCTTTCATCATCCACCATATGTATTATGAGAAATATTATGTATTTTAAATTTATAATTCAAATTTATATTCTAAATGAAATGGGATAAATGAGTCTCATCAATTTTTTTAAATGAGACCAAATGATCTAATTGTCTCATTCATTTCAGATACAAATTTAAGTTGTAAAATTGAGTTACATAGCATTACTCATGTATTATTGAAAGACTTACATCCGCCCCGCCCCGCCCGCCATATTACATATTGAAATTAGATACGAATATTAAATACTCCAACCACATTATCAACATTCAATGCGGAGCCAATATTGAACACCATTCTCAAAGGACACATAAATAGAGGCGGAGCCAAAATTTCCTCTATCGGAGGTAAAAAAAAATAGCATATTTTTATTCAATGCAAATCATTCAATGAGATCAATAAATTTTTTACATGGTTAAAACATATAAGGATTAAACTCACACGGAATAGTGTAATTATTATTTTTAATAAAATAAATAAAGTTAATTAAAATTAGTTTAGTTATTAGATGTAAAAGTCAAACTAATTGCATCAATAGTCTAAAATTTATAGATTTGTTGTACAATATTAAAATTTAACGATATATGTAAAATGTCACAATTTTAATAGTTAATGGTTCAATGTAGTTAGATCATCAAATTTGTTGCTATCAATAGATTGATTAGAGATTATATTCAGAATTATAATTACTATTAATTTTATGATAATAATAATTTAATTAATAATTTCATCCAAATATTTCCATCGATTGCGGGTGGGTGATGAGGATGTTGCATGTGCAGCGTGGATGATACATTGCCGTGTGTGGCATTGCAAGTAGGCCTTGATAGTTTGATTATTACACATTGTGATAGCGAAGTCATAACGATGGAGGGAGATTTGTGGTGTTTTTCAAAGTGCATGGGCCCACATTTACATCCACTGTTACGACTTCCAAGTGTTGATTTTGACAAAAAGACAATGTTGTATGCGCCGATCTTATTTATTGATTTTATGGTTTTTTGTCATTAAATTAATAGTGAATTTCATCATTAATTAAAAATTAGAATTTATTATTAATTTAATGACTACAATTTATCTTGTTATTAAATAAAATTACTAAATTAGGTACTCAAAAATATTTCCTCCGACAAATAGGCTGGATTTATATAGCTCGACTTTATAAACTCCTTCCAAATTAAGAAATCTCCAATAAATAAAAAAAGATTTTCCGCTTGTGAAAGTAGAAAAAATGAGCAAGAGAGAGAAAATGAGGGGACTCCCGGCTAATTGTCAACCTTTACACATGGCTAATATTTTCTAGAAGAGAAATTATAAAATACAAAAATATTATAAGTGTTTTCTTTTTGGTTAGGCGATCGTGAATTTGTAGTTATATATATAGGATGTGAAATGTGAATTAAAATGACTAATATGCATAAGGTTAATATTGAGATTTATTGTGATCTTCAAAAAAGGATAATTTATTAAAAGTCATGGTGTGTGGAGAATGATTAATCTTTTTGGGTCAAGATTAAATTCTATCGTGCGTGTTGTTGAATTGACATTCCACATAATAGTCATTTTCTATTATGATATTTATATTCACTCTATTTTTAAATATATGTCGTTTAAGATTTTTGTATAAGAATTAAGAAAACTATTAAAACTCTAATATGAATAAAAAATAATTACACAAGATTAAAATAATTTTATTCAATATGTATTGGGAATAAAAGGAATATAAAAGACACTTACCCTCCACTAAATTTAATGCATTGAAAAATTAAGGGTAAATTTGGAAGAAAAAATATTAATTATGTTTTAATTTTATTAAATGACAGATATTATGGAACAAAAAAAATTGTATAAAACAACAAATATTTAAGAACGGAGAGAATATATATTTTGTAATTGTTGAATTCATTTAGTATAATACTCGCTAGGCTGGCTTGATAAGAAATGGGCAAATCTCTTGCTTAGTAGAATTTGAAAGGATTACAGATGGTCAACTACACTAAGCCTATTTGATTCATTTTGGTGGGACTATTAATCTAATTTAAAAATGTAAAGCTTTCTCTTCAGATTAATAATAAATCTCATCCCATGTTAGAATTGATAATGTCTATACATTTTTTTTAGTTTAATGATCATATATGTATGAATTAATTTATGCATATTTTGATTAATTTTTTTTTTTTTATAAAAAATAAATTATTTAAATTGAGAATAAAGTATTTATAAAATATATACCACACTTATGGCCTCACCTAAAAAATTATTAATAATGTTTATGCATTAAATCCTCAAAGCCATTGCTGAAAATTCAGACCCTAGGCCTAGGGGCTTGGATCTACTTCAAATTATCGTCCTTTTCCTTTACTGATCTAATCTCTTTCTGCCCACAGACTTCACAGTTAGCTTACCATTCAAAGGGTGTCACTTTCTGTCAACCACAAAAATTGTGTTGGTTTGCATGGTGTCCCACACATGTTTGAAAAAAAGACAAAGAGAGGTGTAGAACCAGGAAAGTCTCTCCCAAGACTGTTTAGATTCTTATGTTCTTCATTACTTTATTTTGTGTTCCCTTTCAATTCATTCTAGTCAATATCAAAACCCAAATTTTAGGGATTTGCTCCATTCTCCATTTCCTGGTAAATCACACAGTCGTCTTCTTCTCTCTTCAGATCACACAGAAATTTCAGTCTGCTGATATGCATAAACACCCATCTGCTGCTATGCATAAACACAACTACAAGAAGAAGAAGAAAATCTCTATTACAGGCTGAAAATATTGTTTTCATTATCTGAAAATCAATCTTGTTCAGTCCCAGATCATCGATATTGGGTACTTTGTATTAATTTCTGAATCGATTATACTTGGAAATGATCATAAAACACATTGGTTTCATCGTTTGTCTTATGTGTGTTCTTCCATCAATCCTAGCTTATACACCAAACAGGTGTAACCGATCATGCGGCACAGTTCAATCTAAACACCTGCCCTTCCCGTTCGGATTCTCCTCCGGCTGCCAAATCCGTCTGAACTGCACCAAAAATGGCACCATGGTTATCGATGACTTTCCGGTCCAGCAAGTAACATCTGATTCTATACTGGTCAACCTTCCGGCCCAATGTGGCCGTCCGGTCGAAACCCTCCACCATCTTTTCAGTCCAAACTATGCTCCGACGTCGCATAATGGAATACTTTTACAGAATTGTAGCACACCCCTCACGGCATGTTTGATTCCGACCACTATGGTTCAAACCCATTTTGAATTGCTTGATTGTGGATCAAAGGATGACAATATTAGCTGTTACTCGGAGCAGAACAACCGGAGTTTGTTCATTGATTACTACAACTTAACGAGAAGCCGATGCCGGTCACTTTTCTCGGCGATCTCAGTTGTGTCATTGGGGGGTATTAATAGCTCGGCGGTGTCATTGGAGGTTCAGGTGGTACAATTGGGGTGGTGGCTTGAAGGGCTTTGTCAGTGTTCCGACCACGCCCATTGTACTAAAATTTTTCCGCCGGTTAATGACCGGCTAGGATATCGGTGCCAATGCTTGGAAGGGTACCGTGGCGATGGATATCGGGCCGGCTTGGGCTGCCGGAAAGGTATGTTGCAGTTGCCGGAGTTGACTAAATAAATTTCATAGGTGCATTGAACTTTTAGAACATGCCTAATTGCACATTATTTATGCCCATTCTGTTTTTTTTTTTTCCTTTTTTTGGTGCAATTATTATGCCAAAATTCTTGTATTAACCTTAGAATGTCCATTTTCTTAACTTTTTTTGCCGGAATTTCAATCGCGGAGGCTTTTATTTAAGGGTAAATAATAAACTCAATTAATCAGGTGTTTAAGGCAATATATCAAATTTCTACTTTTTTTCTTTCTTTTATCCTTCGTAGGGATGAAAAATTGGAAGCATGAAAAAATGTGAGAAATAGTCTTTCCATAATTGGAAGAAAGAAAAATATTTTTCCTCTTTTGAGTTTTGTTACATAGATGAAAAATTGGAAGAATTAATTTTTTATTATTTGGTATCGGAGGAAAAATAGAATATATGTCCTTAATTTATTAATATATAAACATATTTTTTATTACCAATAAAATTTTAAAGAATTATGGTCACTCTAATAAGTTATAAAAATAAATAAACAAATAAATATAGAAATGTATACCAAAAATAATAGTCAAAAAATATACATAGAAAAAATATATGTAATAGGATATTTAGAATTATTTCTTGATAAATGTGCTGGTTTTGATTTGAAATTATGGCATAATATTTAGAAGTATGTTTAAGAGTAAAAAAGTTAATTTGTTCAAAAAAGTAATTTGTCTTCGATTTTCCTTCCACTTTTGGGAGGAAAAAAAATGGTGGGTTGGAAGAAAATATTTTTTCTCCAATTTTCCTTTTTCTCCTTTCTTTATATCCAAACAATAAAGAATTAATTTGTTCAAAAAAGTAGTTTGTCAAAAAAAAAAAAAATGGCTGGTTGTAGGGAAATATTTTTTCTCCAATTTTTCTTTTTCTCCTATTTTTCTTTATAACCAAACAATAATTTTTTTTCCTTTCCATCCCAATTTTCTTCTCCCATTTTTCATCTATCTAACTTTCCATCAAATCAAACACACTATTAGGCTTGTGATACTTGGGAGAACCTAAGCATTAGAATTAATTAAAGGGTCTTCTTAGACAATTCAGTTTTTGAATGACTGAAAACACTGTTCCTCAATTATCATTACAACGTTAATCCATCAACAAAAGTACCAGCGACTGGTAGATTGTAGGACCAGCCCAAATGAAATCATGCCCTCAATTCCATCAATTCCACCGAATTCAGGGGTATTCTGTTCTCTCCATCAGTTGGTATGAGGTCAAGTCGAACTTATAATCAAGTGGCGTAGCCATCCAAATTTTCGGTCATCATTTGGTCGTAAAAGCAATTTGTTTCTTTTCAAGTCCCAAATCCCAATCTTCTATTAGAAAAATGTAGTAGTTGACCTAATATTAATAGTGGGAAAAGGAACCTCTTGGTGTTGTTTTCTTCTTGTAGAGACATTTCAATGTCCTTATTGTTTTACCTTGAGAAGATCTTATAATGCAAGCCTGCAATGTTTTTTATTATTGAAGTGCCAATATACTGAGCTTTGAGAAAGAGAGAGGCACCTCGCACCTGATGGGGAACTGATTCTCACTACTGATGCAAACAAGCATGGAAAGTTTAATGGCAATTTTATTTTCTATATAGAATTCAATTCACCATTTTCTGCTATTTTTTCTTATGTAAACAGAATCTACAGCATGCAACCCTTCAAAGTACTTGTCTGGCCGATGTGGAGGAACAACAAGAATTGGCGCTTTAATTGGAGGTAATCCTAGCTTTTCCCCACCAATTGGGAAAAAATAGAACTTTTTTTCCTGCAGTTTGCTGTATGAAATCTGTCAATTGGTCCTACCATTTTAAAAAAATTGTCTACCAAAGTTCTTCATGTTTGCCAATAAAAATGCTTGTACCATTAACTTTTGAGTAGACAGCTTCATTACTCATATTAGTTCAGTGTCATACAGATGGTATAAGTAGCAAGGCCAGTTAGGACTATCTGACTGGGAACAAATCGCCAACTTTGTGAAGCTACAGGCATCAGCATTCCTCTCCATCCCTACAAAGAAATTGAGAAAGCCACAAATTTCTTCTGTGATGAACAAAGGCTCGGAACTGGGGGCTATGGGACAGTATACTCAGGAAAACTGCAAAATGATGAGTGGGTTGCTATTAAGCGGATCAAGCATAGAGATACTGACTGCATTGAACAAGTCATTAATGAGATCAAGCTCCTCTCTTCTGTGAACCATCCGAATCTCGTTCGCCTCTTAGGTTGCTCCATAGAAAAGGGTGAGCAAATTCTTCTTTATGAATATATGCCTAATGGGACTCTATCTCAGCATCTACAAAGAGAGAAGGGCAATGGACTTTCCTGGTCGGTTCGCCTCACGATTGCCACTGAAACTGCTCAAGCCATATCCTATCTACATAATGCTATGAACCCTCCCATTTATCATAGAGACATCAAGTCCAGCAACATATTACTGGACTATGACAACAAATCAAAAGTTGCTGATTTTGGTCTTTCTAGACTAGGTATGGTTGAATCATCCCACATCTCGACTGCACCACAGGGGACTCCAGGATATCTCGACCCTCAGTATCATCAGAACTTTCATTTGTCTGACAAAAGTGATGTTTACAGTTTTGGGGTTGTTCTTGTCGAGATCTTAACNAAGGGCATTGTCAGTGTTCCGACCACGCCCATTGTACTAAAATTTTTCCGCCGGTTAATGACCGGCTAGGATATCGGTGCCAATGCTTGGAAGGGTACCGTGGCGATGGATATCGGGCCGGCTTGGGCTGCCGGAAAGGTATGTTGCAGTTGCCGGAGTTGACTAAATAAATTTCATAGGTGCATTGAACTTTTAGAACATGCCTAATTGCACATTATTTATGCCCATTCTGTTTTTTTTTTTTCCTTTTTTTGGTGCAATTATTATGCCAAAATTCTTGTATTAACCTTAGAATGTCCATTTTCTTAACTTTTTTTGCCGGAATTTCAATCGCGGAGGCTTTTATTTAAGGGTAAATAATAAACTCAATTAATCAGGTGTTTAAGGCAATATATCAAATTTCTACTTTTTTTCTTTCTTTTATCCTTCGTAGGGATGAAAAATTGGAAGCATGAAAAAATGTGAGAAATAGTCTTTCCATAATTGGAAGAAAGAAAAATATTTTTTCTCTTTTGAGTTTTGTTACATAGATGAAAAATTGAAAGAATTAATTTTTTATTATTTGGTATCGGAGGAAAAATAGAATACATGTCCTTAATTTATTAATATACCCTTAAATATAAAAATATTTTTTATTACCAATAAAATTTTAAAGAATTATGGTCACTCTAATGAGTTATAAAAATAAATAAACAAATAAATATAGAAATGTATACCAAAAATAATAGTCAAAAAATATACATAGAAAAAATATATGTAAAAGGATATTTAGAATTATTTCTTGATAAATGTGCTGGTTTTGATTTGAAATTATGGCATAATATTTAGAAGTATGTTTAAGAGTAAAAAAGTTAATTTGTTCAAAAAAGTAATTTGTCTTCGATTTTCCTTCCACTTTTGGGAGGAAAAAAAATGGTGGGTTGGAAGAAAATATTTTTTCTCCAATTTTCCTTTTTCTCCTTTCTTTATAACCAAACAATAAAGAATTAATTTGTTCAGAAAAGTAGTTTGTCAAAAAAAAATGGCTGGTTGTAGGGAAATATTTTTTCTCCTATTTTTCTTTATAACCAAACAATAATGTTTTTTCCTTTCCATCCCAATTTTCTTCTCCCATTTTTCATCTATCTAACTTTCCATCAAATCAAACACACTATTAGGCTTGTGATACTTGGGAGAACCTAAGCATTAGAATTAATTAAAGGGTCTTCTTAGACAATTCAGTTTTTGAATGACTGAAAACACTGTTCCTCAATTATCATTACAACGTTAATCCATCAACAAAAGTACCAGCGACTGGTAGATTGTAGGACCAGCCCAAATGAAATCATGCCCTCAATTCCATCAATTCCACCGAATTCAGGGGTATTCTGTTCTCTCCATCAGTTGGTATGAGGTCAAGTCGAACTTATAATCAAGTGGCCTAGCCATCCAAATTTTCGGTCANAATTGGTATGAGGTCAAGTCAAACTTATAATCAAGTGGCCTAGCCATCCAAATTTTCGGTCATCATTTGGTCGTAAAAGCAATTTGTTTCTTTACAAGTCCCAAATCCCAACCTTCTATTAGAAAAATGTAGTAGTTGACCTAATATTAATAGTGGGAAAAGGAACCTCTTGGTGTTGTTTTCTTCTTGTAGAGACATTTCAATGTCCTTATTGTTTTACCTTGAGAAGATCTTATAATGCAAGCCTGCAATGTTTTTTATTATTGAAGTGCCAATATACTGAGCTTTGAGAAAGAGAGAGGCACCTCGCACCTGATGGGGAACTGATTCCACTACTGATGCAAACAAGCATGGAAAGTTTAATGGCAATTTTATTTTCTATATAGAATTCAATTCACCATTTTCTGCTATTTTTTCTTATGTAAACAGAATCTACAGCATGCAACCCTTCAAAGTACTTGTCTGGCCGATGTGGAGGAACAACAAGAATTGGCGCTTTAATTGGAGGTAATCCTAGCTTTTCCCCACCAATTGGGAAAAAATAGAACTTTTTTTCCTGCAGTTTGCTGTATGAAATCTGTCAATTGGTCCTACCATTTTAAAAAAATTGTCTACCAAAGTTCTTCATGTTTGCCAATAAAAATGCTTGTACCATTAACTTTTGAGTAGACAGCTTCATTACTCATATTAGTTCAGTGTTATACAGATGGTATAAGTAGCAAGGCCAGTTAGGACTATCTGACTGGGAACAAATCGCCAACTTTGTGAAGCTACAGGCATCAGCATTCCTCTCCATCCCTACAAAGAAATTGAGAAAGCCACAAATTTCTTCTGTGATGAACAAAGGCTCGGAACTGGGGGCTATGGGACAGTATACTCAGGAAAACTGCAAAATGATGAGTGGGTTGCTATTAAGCGGATCAAGCATAGAGATACTGACTGCATTGAACAAGTCATTAATGAGATCAAGCTCCTCTCTTCTGTGAACCATCCGAATCTCGTTCGCCTCTTAGGTTGCTCCATAGAAAAGGGTGAGCAAATTCTTGTTTATGACTATATGCCTAATGGGACTCTATCTCAGCATCTACAAAGAGAGAGGGGCAATGGACTTTCCTGGTCGGTTCGCCTCACGATTGCCACTGAAACTGCTCAAGCCATATCCTATCTACATAATGCTATGAACCCTCCCATTTATCATAGAGACATCAAGTCCAGCAACATATTACTGGACTATGACAACAAATCAAAAGTTGCTGATTTTGGTCTTTCTAGACTAGGTATGGTTGAATCATCCCACATCTCGACTGCACCACAGGGGACTCCAGGATATCTCGACCCTCAGTATCATCAGAACTTTCATTTGTCTGACAAAAGTGATGTTTACAGTTTTGGGGTTGTTCTTGTCGAGATCTTAACAGGATTAAAAGCAGTGGACTTTTTGCGACCCCCGAATGAAGTGAATTTGGCTAATCTTGCCATTGAGAAGATAGGTAAGGGGTGTTTAGAGGAGATAATCGATCCATTCCTGGAACCAGACACAGATGCTTGGACTCTTTCATCAATGCACAAGGTGGCTGAGATGGCATTCAGATGCCTTTCATTTCACAGGGACATGAGGCCTTCGATGATGGAAGTGGCAATTGAATTGGAACAAATCAGGCTTAGTAGATGGGTGTCATCGGAAGAGAACATCACAGCTTCATCTGAAGTATCCTCTTGCTCATCAACATCTAATTTAAGTGAGAAACCACTAGGCCTGACAGTAAAGAAACCTGAACTGGAAAGCGGTCTATTTGCCAGCATGAATTCAATGGACAGTGTGAAGGACTATTCCTTTATCTCTGTGCAGGACCTGTGGCCAAGTGAACAAAGCTCCCCATCATCTAACCGTTTACTCAGCAATGTAATTCAGTGATCTAAAGCTGCTGTTGTTTCTGGTGATTAGCTTATGCACTGTTTGGACAGCATTTCAAAAGCAAAAATTGCTTTGACATTCGGTCTCAGAAATGTCAGCATAGCTTCAACTCCTCCTGAAAATAGTATCATCAAAAATTGCTTTCTCAGGCTTGCATTTAAATTTTAAGCAGTAGGTAGAATAGGGATCTTGCTCTACCATTTTCTTGAATTGATGAAGTGAGCCAGAGTTTACCATAAAATACTTGGGCTTAAACGCAAGTTATCTATGTCGGGACTAGATTATTCATGAACGATAAATTTCACGTGATCTAATCGAAAGAATTATCAAAATTCAAACTCTCCACGTTGAGTTTAAAGTTTGACCCTATTATCAGTTAAACTATTCTCAGAGTAATGAGCCCAAGTTGGGACTTCCTGCAACAATCATATTTTTAGTCTCTTTTATCAATAACAAGGATGGTCAGTAGTAAAGAGACCCAATCTGTTCAAACGTATGGATGGAGAGAGAGGATGACTCAGAAAACTGTAGCTTTTGGGTGTATGAAGATTCTGAAACCTTTAATTGACATCATCGTCATCTTTCAATAAAACCCCTAATTGACTCGTGATTGCCAGCTGAAGCTTCATTGCTCAGAGAACTGAATCGCCTAACCCAGTAAGCACCGTCCCTCCTCTTGTTGTATTGGCACCTTCCCTCACTGCTGACGGCGGCCCAAACTACGTTGCAGCAACGCCCTCCGTTGAACAAAAGCAATCATAATTAATGTCACTCCCAACAACCAAAACCAACGATCGAAAAAGGCCCAAAAGCAGAAGTCAGCAAAAAGATGCTTACTGACACGTGGTCGGCTCACAACCCTAGTCGGACAAATAAATTTCGAGAATAACAGTTGCACTACCATCGATATTTTTAAATGAAATTCGTGATGTTCACATGTTAGTGGATAGTAATATGATGAGATACTATCGGCGAAATGTTTATGAAGTCCATCAATCCACTTATTCACTAACACAATGTAATTGTTTGAACCTAAAATATAAAATTATAAAAATATTCAATGCATTAACATCTGACGAATTTAAAGATATTAAGAAAAGGTCATGTGGTAGGAACTGAAGAAAAAGTAAGAGATGATCGATCACAACCTTAGTTGAAAAGGAAAAAATTATTTGAGAGTTATAAATCAGATAATCNTTTAGCCAATTCAAAGATATTAAGAAAAGGTCATGTGGTAGGAACGGAAGAAAAAGTGAGAGATGATCGATCACAACCTTAGTTGAAAAGGAAAAAATTATTTGAGAGTTATAAATCAGATAATCGTTGTTAGAGATTGACGGTGTTTGAAATTGTTATACCCATTTGCAAAACAACTACTGTGTGAGGTCCAATGGGGACTTTACAAATGCTTGGATCANTATTTTCAAACTTAAACTCAAATTCGATTAAACTCGATCTCTATTTTATAAAGAAGAGATTCAACATTCAATCCGATTCATACTATGTTTGATATGTAACATATATATATATATATATATATATATATATATATANGTTTGAAATTGTTATACCCATTTGCAAAACAACTACTGTGTGAGGTCCAATGCGGACTTTACAAATGCTTGGATCAATGGGAAAGTAAGCGTTGATGTTGGATCAAAGAACAAGGTATAAGTGGTTCATTTAAGCCGAAAAACCAATGCTACACCACAGTAACAGAAGTTCCTATTTCTTGGAGTTATATTATTTAAAGAAGAAGACGGTGGTTACAGTTGATTTCTTGGCCAAGAGCCTTTCTACACAGTATTTATTAAGTAAAGTTACGAAGTTCTCTCTTTTACGGTGGTTTTATCTTTTATTTATATATGTGGTTATCTAGAATTTTTGTGCTTCTTATTTTTTTTGACTAATTCTATGGTCTCCTCTTCATTTATCCTGCAATGGGATTTGCCACCATGACACATTTTGTACCCACGATTCTTAGAAACGGAATATATACAAATATTCGCTTTATTTATTCGGTAGAGTCATTAGAGGTTGTCTCCCTGTCCTCTGGACACGTGACTCGACCAGAGCTGCTTGGGGACCCTCCTGTACCAAGATACTTACTCTCGAGCAAGCACATGTCTCTATGCTTGATATGATCGGGCTGATGTATCCAAACTGATAGATCTTGGGCTCTTTATGTCCCTAGGCTGTGGCCCAATTCCATTGACACATAGGGTGCTTTGCCGGTGGGCCGCTAAAATCCTCCTTTAAAGAGGCATGTTTGGATGTACTGGAGTCCAAACGGACGGCTCATAACTTAAGTCCATCATTGTCAGAGACAAACCCGTTAAAGATAGTGGCTACAAAAGACAGATAATGAGAAAGTTGTAGCATTCAAATCTTCACAAGATTCACGATTTGAAAATTTTTGAGAATAGTGTTAAGTTAATTATAAAAATTAGTTATTATTATAACTAAGATTGCTAATTTAATCTTTCTATAATTGAAATCCCTTCAATCGAATTAATACAAAAAAAAAAAATTATTAGTGCACGATTCTATATTTATCATTTTAAATTAAACCCATTACTAATAATCACCTAAAAATTATCTATTAATTAAAAAAAACATATTTCATCAATAACAATAACAACAATTTTTGAAGAAAAAACGCGGGTCACGCGAAGAAAGTTGTAAGCATTACATTTACATTATAAATATTTTCTCCTAGTGGGCCCACACGCTTGTCGAAGAATGAATTGCCAAGTTATGAACTTGGAACGGTCGAAACCAAACCAAACTCTCCAAGAAAAGGGAAGAGAAAAGCCAAAATCTCCAACCCACCTACGTAAAGACAAGCTCAGCTAATATATGCCGCGAATCTTCTGTCTCTTCCAACCCCAGCTGGACTTTGAATTTGAATGAGTTTTTTTCCAATCAAGTTGATATCATGTTGAATTTTTTTAATTTATATCAAATTAGTTTTATGTCGTATCTTGCCATGGTTAAATTTTTATATAAATTGATTAGTAGAATTCGTATCATATTTAGTTGAATTAGTATTGATAAATTTATTTAATAAGTCCATCTATTTTTTATTTAAACTTATTATGATTAAACCCAAAATGCATCAATTTCTAGGGGTTGTGCAAGTAATTAAATTTGTTCTCTTCTCACACCCTAAGGTCTAGCCAGCTCCTTGCTCCTCAAGAAGCATGTGTTTAAAATAACTTGATTCAATATAAAATTGAACACTCTATATCAAAAATACATAAATAAATCCAGCACGCATCAAATTCACAATTGGCTTATAAACTTTTCTAGTCTTGGCCAAGCCCCCAGGTCTCCTCTATATAAATACAAGACATCCCGTTACCAAACCATACTAAACTCAAGGCTTCCAAAAGGCAGAGTAACATCAACAATGGCTGCCACTAGATTGCCACGTATGTCAAGACCATTGGGTCTTGGTGCACCATCATCTTTCTCTTGTTCGTGTAATTCCTCACTATCATCGTCGACTATGAATATGATGAGGTTAAACAAGGTGGGGTTTAATGGCGAGAACACGATTACTGAGAATGGAGAGACGAAAGCTATGGCGGCGTTGAAGGCATCGGTGGCTGATTCGGACAGGGTGGTCACCTCAAAACCGCAGACTGAAGGAGGAGTTGATCTGACTTCAGTATTGGAAAACGTTAAAGCTGTTGTGAGGAAGAGCTTCAAGGTACTGGTTACCAAAGGAAGGCCATGGAAATTACGTGCTCAGTTGCTCATTGAAAAGGTATTTCAAAAATTTTGTTTGTTGGGTTACATGCGTTTTGGGCTTGTTTGATTGAATTTTGGAGAGGGGTTTAAGTTGACTTATCCAAAATTTAAATATTTTCAAACTTAAACTCAAATTCGATTAAACTCGATCTCTATTTTATAAAGAAGAGATTCAACATTCAATCCGATTCATACTATGTTTGATATGTAACATATATATATATATATATATATATATATATATATATATAACTCATTTATATATCATAATTATTATTTATTTTATAAATAATTTGATCAATTTAATTTATACCTTTGTTAAAGGGTAAAATTATTTTTTAGATTCTTTACCCCTCATTTATCTTCTCAAATCCACCTTCTCATAATTTTGATTAAGAATTTAATTTTTTGGTCAACGAGTCGAATTTAAAAATTTGGGGCTAAAATTTTAAATAAACATGAGATTTAAGAAAATTTTAAATTATTTTTTCTAAACTCAACTTGTCGCACACCTCGTACTCCCCTGCCAAACAGCCGTTTAGTTCTTTTGGAAGAAACAATGTTACCTTCTGGTCAGGTTGTCACAGTGGTCATTAGTTCTTTCTTTAGTACTTTTGGGATTTTTATTGTTGATCATCTGCCTGTCAAGACAGAGTGCTGAACAGTGGAATTTTGTAGAGGACACAGACACTGTTGTACTAATCTAGGCCACATAATTTTAAACGGCCAACGCTTCGAAGGTCCGTACCCAAAAAATAATACTTTTATGTATTCTACTTCTAATTTTCATTTAATAAAAATGTAATAAGTGNACATAGGGTGCTTTGCCGGTGGGCCGCTAAAATCCTCCTTTAAAGAGGCATGTTTGGATGTACTGGAGTCCAAACGGACGGCTCATAACTTAAGTCCATCATTGTCAGAGACAAACCCGTTAAAGATAGTGGCTACAAAAGACAGATAATGAGAAAGTTGTAGCATTCAAATCTTCACAAGATTCACGATTTGAAAATTTTTGAGAATAGTGTTAAGTTAATTATAAAAATTAGTTATTATTATAACTAAGATTGCTAATTTAATCTTTCTATAATTGAAATCCCTTCAATCGAATTAATACAAAAAAAAAAAATTATTAGTGCACGATTCTATATTTATCATTTTAAATTAAACCCATTACTAATAATCACCTAAAAATTATCTATTAATTAAAAAAAACATATTTCATCAATAACAACAATTTTTGAAGAAAAAACGCGGGTCACGCGAAGAAAGTTGTAACCATTACATTTACATTATAAATATTTTCTCCTAGTGGGCCCACACGCTTGTCGAAGAATGAATTGCCAAGTTATGAACTTGGAACGGTCGAAACCAAACCAAACTCTCCAAGAAAAGGGAAGAGAAAAGCCAAAATCTCCAACCCACCTACGTAAAGACAAGCTCATCTAATATATGCCGCGAATCTTCTGTCTCTTCCAACCCCAGCTGGACTTTGAATTTGAATGAGTTTTTTTCCAATCAAGTTGATATCATGTTGAATTTTTTTAATTTATATCAAATTAGTTTTATGTCGTATCTTGCCATGGTTAAATTTTTATATAAATTGATTAGTAGAATTCGTATGATATTTAGTTGAATTAGTATTGATAAATTTATTTAACAAGTCCATCTATTTTTTATTTAAACTTATTATGATTAAACCCAAAATGCATCAATTTCTAGGGGTTGTTCAAGTAATTAAATTTGTTCTCTTCTCACACCCTAAGGTCTAGCCAGCTCCTTGCTCCTCAAGAAGCATGTGTTTAAAATAACTTGATTCAATATAAAATTGAACACTCTATATCAAAAATACATAAATAAATCCAGCACGCATCAAATTCACAATTGGCTTATAAACTTTTCTAGTCTTTGCCAAGCCCCCAGGTCTCCTCTATATAAATACAAGACATCCCGTTACCAAACCATACTAAACTCAAGGCTTCCAAAAGGCAGAGTAACATCAACAATGGCTGCCACTAGATTGCCACGTATGTCAAGACCATTGGGTCTTGGTGCACCATCATCTTTCTCTTGTTCGTGTAATTCCTCAATATCATCGTCGACTATGAATATGATGAGGTTAAACAAGGTGGGGTTTAATGGCGAGAACACGATTACTGAGAATGGAGAGACGAAAGCTATGGCGGCGTTGAAGGCATCGGTGGCTGATTCGGACAGGGTGGTCACCTCAAAACCGCAGACGGAAGGAGGAGTTGATCTGACTTCAGTATTGGAAAACGTTAAAGCTGTTGTGAGGAAGAGCTTCAAGGTACTGGTTACCAAAGGAAGGCCATGGAAATTACGTGCTCAGTTGCTCATTGAAAAGGTATTTCAAAAATTTTGTTTGTTGGGTTACATGCGTTTTGGGCTTGTTTGATTGAATTTTGGAGAGGGGTTTAAGTTGACTTATCCAAAATTTAAATCTTTTTAAACTTAAATTCAAATTCGATTAAACTCGATCTCTATTTTATAAAGAAGAGATTCAACATTCAATCCGATTCATACTATGTTTGATATTTAATATATATATATATATAACTCATTTATATATCATAATTATTATTTATTTTATAAATAATTTGATCAATTTAATTTATACCTTTGTTAAAGGGTAAAATTATTTTTTAGATTCTTTACCCCTCATTTATCTTCTCAAATCCACCTTCTCATAATTTTGATTAAGAATTTAATTTTTTGGTCAACGAGTCGAATTTAAAAATTTGGGGCTAAAATTTCAAATAAACATGAGATTTAAGAAAATTTTAAATTATTTTTTCTAAACTCAACTTGTCGCACACCTCGTACTCCCCTGCCAAACAGCCGTTTAGTTCTTTTGGAAGAAACAATGTTACCTTCTGGTCAGGTTGTCACAGTGGTCATTAGTTCTTTCTTTAGTACTTTTGGGATTTTTATTGTTGATCATCCGCCTGTCAAGACAGAGTGCTGAACAGTGGAATTTTGTAGAGGACACAGACACTGTTGTACTAATCTAGGCCACATAATTTTAAACGGCCAACGCTTCGAAGGTCCGTACCCAAAAAATAATACTTTTATGTATTCTACTTCTAATTTTCATTTAATAAAAATGTAATAAGTTAAATATATTTTTTTATTGTATTATTTCTAGTACTTTAGCTTCTTTTTCAATTGATTGTTAAAAATCATCCAAATCAAAATCTACGACTCCGAGCAGTTTCTATACAAGTATCAAAGCCATGCACATGATCAACATGCTTGACATGCAACGGCNTGAAATATTTTTTTTTATTGTATTATTTCTACTTTAGCTTCTTTTTCAATTGATTGTTAAAAATCATCCAAATCAAAATCTACGACTCCGAGCAATTTCTATACAAGTATCAAAGCCATGCACATGATCAACATGCTTGACATGCAACGGCATTAGGGTCTCTAATATTTTCGAGATAATTATAGAATAATAGTCTAAAGATTTTTTACTAAACAATAAATCCATGTTTACTTGACATAGAGTTCTGTAGCAATCTAAGAATCACTTAATCAAAATCATGGAACAATTGTTTTACAACTGAGGTAGAACTATATACATTTATGTTTCGTTTGGTAGGGAGGATGGAAAGTAGAAATGATATACTTTCTTATTTTTGTATTTGGTTGGATAAATGGATAATAAAAATGACTAATTTTTTTTTAATTTTTTTTGTAATAGCTAAGATTAAAATTGACAATCGAATCGTGTCGTGTCAGATTCATGTTAAATCATAAAATTATGAGTCTTTTCTTATTCTCGTGTCAGGTCATTTTTAAGTTCGTGTTATAAAATTTGTATTGAGTTCGAGTCGTGTCATTGTGTTGAGTTAAAAATTTTCACCCCTAGTTAAGATGAAAAAAAATATTTTGAGGATTCTTCACTGTTCAAACTAATGCTCCGTTTAATACAATGAAAAATTAAGGAATAGAAAGTTGGAAAATAAATTTGAAGAATAAATAAAATATTATATTTTGTAAATAAGAAAAATATGAATGGTGAAAAAATAGATTGATGAAATTTCCTTTGAACTCACTAAAATTAGTACCTCCAAAATTAGAATGAAAGTAGATAAAAAGTTAATTATTTGTGTTAAAATGTATCTTATTTGTTTATATATCTTTTAATATATACATATATTAATTTCATATATAAATATAATGATGAANTATCTATTAATTAAAAAAAACATATTTCATCAATAACAATAACAACAATTTTTGAAGAAAAAACGCGGGTCACGCGAAGAAAGTTGTAAGCATTACATTTACATTATAAATATTTTCTCCTAGTGGGCCCACACGCTTGTCGAAGANCCGAGTTAGAACTATATACATTTATGTTTCGTTTGGTAGGAAGAATGGAAAGTAGAAATGATATACTTTCTTATTTTTGTATTTGGTTGGATAAATGGATAATAAAAATGACTAATTTTTTTTTAATTTTTTTTGTAATAGCTAAGATTAAAATTGACAATCGAATCGTGTCGTGTCAGATTCATGTTAAATCATAAAATTATGAGTCTTTTCTTATTCTCGTGTCATGTCATTTTTAAGTTCGTGTTATAAAATTTGTATTGAGTTCGAGTCGTGTCATTGTGNAAAATTGACAATCGAATCGTGTCGTGTCAGATTCGTGTTAAATCATAAAATTATGAGTCTTTTCTTATTCTCGTGTCAGGTCATTTTTAAGTTCGTGTTATAAAATTTGTATTGAGTTCGAGTCGTGTCATTGTGTTGAGTTAAAAATTTTCACCCCTAGTTAAGATGAAAAAAAATATTTTGAGGATTCTTCACTGTTCNTCATATTTAGTTGAATTAGTATTGATAAATTTATTTAATAAGTCCATCTATTTTTTATTTAAACTTATTATGATTAAACCCAAAATGCATCAATTTCTAGGGGTTGTGCAAGTAATTAAATTTGTTCTCTTCTCACACCCTAAGGTCTAGCCAGCTCCTTGCTCNAATACAATGAAAAATTAAGGAATAGAAAGTTGGAAAATAAATTTGAAGAATAAATAAAATATTATATTTTGTAAATAAGAAAAATATGAATGGTGAAAAAATAGATTGATGAAATTTCCTTTGAACTCACTAAAATTAGTACCTCCAAAATTAGAATGAAAGTAGATAAAAAGTTAATTATTTGTGTTAAAATGTATCTTATTTGTTTATATATCTTTTAATATNAGTACAATGAAAAATTGAGGAATAGAAAGTTGGAAAAAAAATTTGAAGAATAAATAAAATATTATATTTTGTAAATAAGATAAATATGAATGATAAAAAAATGGATTGATGAAATTTCCTTCGAACTCACTAAAATTAGTACCTCCAAAATTAGAATGAAAGTAGATGAAAAGTTAATTATTTGTGTTAAAATGTATCTTATTTGTTTATATATCTTTTAATATATACATATATTAATTTCATATATAAATATAATGATGAAATATGTATTTTTTTTTTTTTAAAAAAAAAAAATATTTTTTCCATATTATCATGTACAAAAAAAAAATTAATTATTTTTATTTTTCAGTTATTCTACCAAATATAAACGAAAAAAAATATATCATTCATATTCTTTTTTCTTGAAGAATAAAAAATATATAGATC